CGCCCTGGGCCCCCAGTGGCGCCGAGAAAATGCAGCGCCTGCCACCATCTGCGAGCGTGTCAAGCTGAGCTGAGCCGAGCTGTGCTGTGCTGAGCTGAGCTGACCTGTGGTGTGCTGTGCTGCGCTGTGCTGTGTGCTGAGCTGAGCTGAGCTGTGTGCTGTGCTGAGCTGAGCTGAGCGGTGCTGTGCTGTGCTGTGCTGTGATGTGCTGTGCTGTGCTGTACGAAGAGTGAAATGTGTGTGTGTGTGTGAGAGAGAGAGTGTCGCGGGTGCGGCGCGGCAGGGAAGAAAACCAGAACCCCACGAAGCATGTGGGGAATAACGTCCCTCATGGAGGGCGGGGGTGCGAGCCTGCAAGCGCTGCAGCATGCTTGCGAGCACAACAGCATGCATGCGAGCACCGCGCCACGCCTGCCCGTGAGCAAACCCGCACCCCCCTCTGAGTACGCTCGGTGCCGTGGCGTGGCGGGGAAGGGGGGGATGGCGACCCCCCGGAACGGACGGCACGGCTTCACCGGATAAGGAAACAAGACTTATCTAAAGGTGTATGAATTGTGGTGGTCGGTCGCCGTCGCGTCCTCGTCGTCGTCGTCCGTTGTCGTCGTCGTCGGTGTCGGCGTCGGCGTCGGCGTCGGCGTCGGCGTCGTCGTCGTCGTCGTCGTCGTCCGTGTCATCGTCGTCGGTCGTCGTCGTCGGTCGTCGTGGTCGTCGGCGTCGTCGTCGTCGTCCGTGTCCTCGTCGTCGTCGTCGGTCGTGGTCGGGGTCGTCGTCGTCGTCGCCGTTGTCGCCATCGTCGCCGTCGTGGTCGTCTGTGTCCTCACCGTCGTCGTCGTGGGTCGTCCTCCGTGCCGTCGTCGTCGTCGTCGTCGTCGTGGTCGTGGTCTTGGTCGTGGTCGTGGTCGTGGTCGTGGTCGTCGTCGTTGTCAGTCGTCGGTCGTCGGCCGTTGGTCGTGGGTCGTCGGTCGTCGGTCGTCGGTCGTCGGTCGCCGTCGCCATCGCCGTCGCCGTCGTCGTCGCCGCAAACGCCGTCGTCGTCGTCGTCGTCGTCGTCGTCGTCGCCGTAGTCGTCGACTGTCGCCGCCGTCGTCGTCGATCGATCAGTCGGCGCCTCTTACTACGCTGATCCTCCGACTTCCTTTTTTTCAACGCGACTCCCTTAGCCTTGGAAATTCAGCGGGGGCTTCAGCACAACCGTGAAAACGGCGCGGCGCGTTTCAAAATCGGAAACGAGGCCCTGGAACGGACAGCGGGTGCAGAGCGGCAGGCCCGACTGGCCTCAGCCCCGCGCCCGCGCACCCCCACCCCTGCGGGAGCGGCACATGCGGGGACGGCTCCCCCCCCCCCCCGTCTGGTAGGGAGAAAGGCGCAGAAGGTCCACTACATTCTTAGCGTGGCCCCCTGCGAAAGTATTTCTCGAGCTGTGTTTGAGTGGTCGGAAGAGGGAGAGGGAGGTAAAAAGGCGAGGTAGGGGTAGAGGCGGAGGGTGGATTACCATTCTCGGCGGCAGCGGCAAAGCCTCTCCCCTCACTCGTTGGTGCTGGCGCCGATGCTGGTGTAGGCGCTGGCGTCGCAGCTGCTGTGGGCGTCGCAGCCCCTACTTCTTCCTGAGTTTCTTGCTCCTGCTCGCCTGCGTAACCTTGCCGCCCTTGAACGCCAACGACTCCACTTCCTTCGCCGCCTTGGACCTCGTCGCGATGTCGTAATTACTGGAGGCCCACCCCAACAGCGGCCAGTGCGCCATTGCGCCTCAGCAGATTTAGCGACTCCTTCAGCCCTGGGTAGTGGTTCACCGCAAAGATCCATTTGCACTCTCCTGCCTCGAGGCCCTCCTCGTCGTTCTTGCTCTTCACTTTGAAGCACCTCGTTGCCACGAACTTCATCTGCGGGTCCTGCACCATCTTCCCCACCTTCAAGAGTTCGTCCAGCGCGGCCTTGGCGGCCTGCGGTTCGATGCCCTGTTCCACGGAGCCAACTGCATCCTTCTCGATGTCTGTGAGTACTGCCAACAGCATAGGCGGTGGTTTGGACGAACTTCCTCTTCGTTTTACTCTATGTGCTCGCTGATGGCGCACAATCACTTCTCCTGCTACTGCCACTGCGTCCCGCGTACCTCTCCCTGGCATGGCTCCAGACTGCGTCGGTGAAATATTGCGCGCCACTTCCCTCAACGCCGCAAGCGACGTGACCTCGGCGTACGCCTTCCCCACATGGCTGATCAAGTTGATGGTGCGATAATCCTTCGACGCCGAGCAACCATCGCCCTTTGGCTTGCGCAACTGCGTGGTTTCGCCGTCCTTGACCCTCTGCGGAGCGTCACCCAGAGACTGGGCCGCGTTAAAGACCTGCAAGATGGGCAGCGCAAGCGTGTCAATCGCCAGCTTCCACGATTCAGCAACAGCGCCTCCAGGCGGTCCAGATTTCGGCCACCGAAGCGTGGGTCCCCCCTTCAAGTTGGACAACGCCATGATGCTCTCCTTCACCGTCTCCATGTCGTAGCTGCCAATCCTGTCGTCGTCGCGCGTATGCCTGCCGGCCCAGATGGGTCTGCCTTCCAGTTCCATCGCCTGACCGTCGCACACTTCGCATATGCTCCGAATGCGCGCTCGCTGATCGTCCTCAGCGTCGAAACACGGCAGCCCCGTGTCTGGATCTTTCACTGTCATGATGGGTGCCGCAGGCTTGGGAGCTAACTTATTCACGATGTTGTGGAGGCACCTCAAGTTTCTCTGTCCTGTCGCTCGCTCAGCTTCTTCCGCCAGAGCTACGGTCTTCTGCCGTTTCTCACTCCTGATAGCCGCTGTCGCCAACTTCGCCGCCGTGTTGAACCTCAACTGACAATGTGCCTGCAACCGCCGAGCTCCATCAGGAAGGGCTGCCGGTTGATACTGCCAGTACTGCTTCGACCTAACCAACTTCACCGTCTCCTCACTGGACACTGTGCCTATCCTGTTCCCCGCCACAGGTGGTGATATGTAGTCCTGCATCGCCGCCTCAATCACAACTCCTTCCAGCTCGTTGAAGTACTCCGATGGGGACTCGTAGCGCACGCCCGTCCCACAAATGTCAGCCCAGTCTTCCTGCAGCCCCTTTGCCTCAAGTCCCTCCACGACTTTACGCCTGAAGTTGAGCACGCGGTCAGGGAGCTTGACCGAGTTGTCCGTATCCTCCTCAGCCTGCTGCACCTTCAACAAGTCAGCACTCATGAGCTCCCTCCGCCATCGAAATTTGCCTGCTTCTTTCAGTCTTTGCCGCCTTCACACCCGCAAAGACACGTGACTCCAATGGACTGTGGTCCCTGCAGCCGCCCAGGTTCACAGGTAGATCAGCCCTCGGAAACGACGAATGTCCGTAACCTCCTCGCCGCCGCACCAACACGTAGTCAATCGTAGTCCACGTCCCCTGCGGGCTCCTCCATGTGCCGTTGAATCTTCCTCTCTGTCCGATTGTGTTCAGCGCCATCAGCCCGTAGTCCTCCATGAGCTCCATCAGCGCGTGGCCGTTAGCATTGATCGCTGGGCCATTCCTTCGCACGCCAGCGAACCCCACCCAAGGCAGCAACGGTGGGGCGTGTGCGTTGGCGTCCAGCGTGACAATGAGCGCCGCCCTTGCTGGAACTTGGCCGACTGCTCGGCGACGCACCTGCCAGAACACACTTCTGGCCTCAAGGTGCTTCTCTCTAAACCCCATTGCTTCAACTCCTTTACGCACATGACCCGCCTCGTTAGTAGGGGCGTAGCCATTCAGCACGTAGATGTCCCGTTCGAACCTCTTCCTGCTCACACTGCGTAACCGTACTCCTTGCAGCTTCCCTTCCAACCACGCGTGCTCACATCTGACCTCGCCCTTCTGGAAGTACTTGAGATTGATGGCCGTGACGCATCCGTCCCTTTGCCCTCGCCCTGACCTCGCCAGCGAGTGCACCTCAAAGCTACCCGACTTCCATGTCTTTCCCAGATCCATCTGCGTGCCCTGCATCGTGAAAATGGCCACGCTCTCTTTCCTAGCCAACTCTAGTAACTCGTCCAACCTCCCCACCCTACGCAGCGACTTCACGTTGAAACTCCACACCTTCAGTGTTCTCTGCTTCCATGTGGCTCGCTGCTCTTGTTCTTCATCATCCCTCTTCACCTTCACCAGTACTCTATCATCAGCTGGATGTGACAGTTGGGTCAACTCCGCGACAGTCTCTGGAGTGACCCTCTGCGCGGCTGAGGCACGCGTGATCCTCTGTCCTCGGTACCAAGCCACGCCTGCCACCAGCGCGGGCCTCCACGCTCGCCTCAAGGCACGCTTGCCACGCATCGCCCGTACGCCCTTTTTCCAGCAACCAACTCGGCCCAGCACCGTGTTGCCGTCCTCGCGGGTCGGGCACCCCGCGAACGCTCACCTCGCAGTGGCCCTCGAAGCACTCCCCCCTCACCGTGTCCCCACGGCCCACATGGCGCGGCCGACTCGGGGGGTCCAACACTGGCCAAAACTTGCGACCTGGCACGACCGTCGCTGCGACGCAACTGTCTTGAGCCGTCGAGGCTTCCTCCGACTTCCGCCAGCTTCCGCCGGGCCTCCGCCGACTTCCGCCGGCGGAGGCGGCTTCGCTTTACTCCCGCCGCCTTCCGCCAGGCTTCCGCCGAGGAAGAAGTATAAATTCCTTCGGTCCTCGAAGTCGAGGCCCTTCCTTGAATGCCTCCTCTCGGTGCCTCTTCTAGAAAAGGAAAAACAGCATCAGGACAAACTTTTGGCGCTCTGCCCGGATTTCTTGGATCTGCGCTGGACCCCCCTCCCTGGCGCGCGGAGCGCGCCAGAGGCGGCGCCGGAGGAGCCCTCCTCCTCCTCCTCCTCCTCCTCCTCCTCCTCCTCCTCCTCCTCCTCCTCCTCCTCCTCCTCCTCCTCCTCCCCCTCCCCCTCCCCCTCCCCCTCCTCGTCCTCCCCTCCTCGTTCTTCTCCTTTCCGGACCGTCGGACCTCCAGCGCCCGAGCCCGCTCGGCCCCCCCGGAGCGGGCCTCGGACCGCGCGGCGGCGCGCTCCAGCAGCGCCTGCAGCGACGAGCGGAACTCCGCGTCCACCTGCTCGCGCCAAGGCCCCCCCACGGCGGCGGCGGCCGCGCGGCCGCCGCCACGGACTCGATGTCCCGACGCGGCGGCGGCGGCCTCGAGCCCGCCACGGGCTCGAGGCCGCCGCGGGCCGCCGCCTCGGGCCCGCCCGGCTCCGCCCCGCGCGCTCGATTCGCAGGGGGTCCGCTCGGGCGGCCGAGCGGGCGCCCAGGGGGCTCACCCCAGAGGGAGCCCTCCTCCCCCTCCTCCTCCCCTCCCTCCTCCTCCTCCTCCTCCTCCTCCTCCAACTCCTCCTCCTCCAACTCCTCCTCCTCCCCCTGATGCTCTCGCGGCGCCCCGGGCCCTGGGCGGCCCAGGGAGCAGCCGAGGTCACGTCCACTGGGGCGTGGGGCTGAGAGCCGCACTGGTGTATAAAGTCGTCCGAGGCTTAGGCTCAGGATCTCTCGAGAACCTCTGGGAACATCACGACACATGTCTCGATGGCCCTGATCATTGGACACTGGAATGTTTCAGTCGCGCCCGACGAGAACGGTCGCTACCGATTTTGCTTCCAATTTCGGCATCGGTCGCGACAGGCTTGCTTCAAGGTCGGTCGCGACCGATCGGTCGCGATCGGTGGTGACCAGTCGCGACCGATTGGGGGATCGGTCGCGATCGGTCGAGACCGATTTGGAGTGCAGATCGGTCGCTACCGATCGCGATCGACTAAAAAATCGGTATCCAATGATCTGAGCTCGGTGGGGAGCGGGGAGAATGGGACGCACAAAGACATACTAGTACTATATGTTATCCTTGGAGGCGCGCGTCCGACCCGAACATATAGTATACCCATCTTGTAGTATATCCTTTCCCGAGCGGTATGGCCTGGAAGCGCCCGCCGCGACACATATACTAAAGATTTCTCGGTGCGCGCGTCGTCCCTGAGGGGGGCGACGCACATATAGTAGAACTATGTTGGGGTGACACCGAGAGAAGGCGGGGAGCGGACACCCCGTCGACCGAACGACCTAGGGGGGCGGACGTGAGCCTCCGAGCTTGCCCCCACAGAGGCGGGCAGCCTGAGGATAAATGCGAGACCCGCGGGACACAGCGTGGGCAGCGCGGCTGCCAAGATCGCCCAGGGAGGACGGACCCACGAGTGGACGAAGAAGCCAGGACGAGGAAAAATTCGAGGGTGCCCTCCCCAGGATGCACAAGAACATCCAACAAGCACGAAGAACATCAGGCTACCCTCCCCGAACCGACCTCGATCGTATGCCTCGGTCCGACCGTACGTGAGCCCCGACTAGAGACGCCCAGGAAGCCCCCAGATCCCCAGGCGGCTCCAATCTGGGCCCCTTCCGCCCCTTCAGACGAAGCCAGGACGAGGATAAATTCGGGTGAAGATAAGCCGAGAATCTCTGAGATCCGGCAATTCTCGAGGATGTCTCGGGCGCCGCGGGCTTCTCAGAGCGCTCCAGGACGCTCCGAGAGCGTTCTGGAACGCTCGGGAACGTCCTTAGCCTCGTCCTATGCCCCGTCCGGAAAGGACCGCAATCTCTGAAAAACAAATATGATTCTCCCCGGAGCCGGGCAGCCCCCAAAGAAAGACACGAGCCCGAAAACATCCGAGCGCCATCTGGAGAGTCCTTCAGAGCCCTACGAACAAGACCGGCAAGCCCTCGGGACACCTGTGAAAATCAACGAGAAACCCTCTGACACCCCCCGAGGAGCCCACCGAGAGCCCCCGAGAACCTCCAAGAGCCTCCGAGGAAAACCCAACGATGCGACAAAGACGCCCTCCGAGAGCCTCCGAGAACAATCCGAACGATACGACGATCGACGACGACGACGACGACGACGACGACCACGACAACAACAATAACAACAACAACAGCAACAACAACAACAACAACAACAACAACAACACCAACAACACCAACAACAACAACAACAACAACACCAACAACAACAACGACAACAACAACAACAACAACAACAACAACAACAACAGCAGCAGCAACAACAACAACAGCACCAACAACAGCATCAACAACAAGAACAACAATAACGACAATAACAGTAACAAATACAAACACAGCAACAACAACACCAACAACAACAACAATCACAATCACAACAACGACGACGGCAACCACAACAACATCAACAGCAACAACACCAACAAGTTGTTGGTGTTGTTGTTGGCAACAACAAGCCTTTAAGACTGTTCGCCCGTATCTGCTCGAGTGTCGAATAACGCGAATTTCCCAAACCCTCGATACCCGTCCTGTTCGTCTTCGATCGAACCCCTTTGGGGGGGTATGCCTTTCTTCCCCGCAGGCCGGGCCCCGGCAAGCGGCGGGGCGGCCGCGGACCGTCGGCCGAGCCAGCGGCAGCGCTGATCGGCGGGGCGGCCGCGGCCCGTCGACCCGACCCCAAGAGGGACGGACAGGGGACCGACCACGACGACGACGACGTCGACGACGACGACGGCAACGACGGCGACGGCGACGACGACGACGAGCGAAAGCGAGAGCGAGAGAGAACGACAGCAGAGCCACGAAGGACACGAAGTAGGCCACCAAGGGCGACAGCGGGGACACGAAGGGAATGCGTATGGGGCCACGAAGAGCGCGAACGAGCGTGGGCCACGAAGGGCAGAAAATGCGGGGCCACAGAAGGCAACGATGGGGCCACTGAGGGTAGCACCTGGGCCACGTAGGACAATGAGGGGGCCACAAACGGCGACAGCGGGGCCACGAAGGGCATGCACATGGGGCCACAGGGCGCGAACGAGCGGGGGCCACGAAGGGCATACGTATGTTGGGCCGCGGAGGAAGTTCGGCGTCGGTCGCGACGCGACCGATCGGTCACGACCGATCTGGAGTGGTGATCGGTCACCTCGGTCGCTACCGGTCGCGGCCGAAACAAATCGGTGCCCAATGGCCTGGGCATGTGTGGGGGGGCCCCGGGCCGACGGCTCGCTCGCGGCGGGCCGCGGCGGGCCCTCGGGGCCGCGCCACAGCCCTCGGCGGCGGGCGCGCGCGGGCGCGCGCACGCCTGGTCGCTGGGCTCCGAGGCCAGGCGCCGCGTTGCGTCGGCCAGCAGGGCCTCTGGGGGCTCCTCCTCTTCCTATTCCTCCTCCTCCTCCTCCTCCTGGACCGGGGGGAAGGGCGGAGAAGCGAGCCCTGGGCCTTGCTCTGCTCCGCCAGGCCGCCCGCGCAGTGGACGGCCTGCGACGAGATCTGCTTCGCCATGTCCTCCAGCTCCCTCTGCAGCTCGATTTCCTCCCAGCAACATGTGTCATCCTCCTCCTCCTCCTCCTCCTCCTCCTCCTCCTCCTCCTCCTCCTCCTCCTCGATGGCCGAGTCGCCCATCTTCCTCGCATTGTCCGCGGAGGGGGGCCCAGCATTGTCCGTGATCGGCCGGCTGCTAGGCTGCTTCCATGCGCCGCTCGCTCTGTTGGCATTGCTCGAACTGTGTTGCACGACATGCACGATGTCGTGCGTGCTTTTACAGCTCTCGAGGGCTTGCGCGGCATTGTTGGCCCCGCAGTAGGTGCATTTGTTTCCTATTGAGCCTGGCACTGTTCATTGCCATTGTCCAGCGCGTTTCCCAGCCCTGCCCGGCGCGTTTCCCGCGCCGCGTCCGTCAACTTTGACGCCGTCCGCAGAGCTCTGCGCACTCCTCTTCCTCATCCTCTCCCATTCCCCTCCTGTTCGGGCGCATGCTAAAATAGATTCCGCATCCGCGGATCTGGAGAATGAGACCAGTGCGGCCTCGTTTGACGATAAAAAATGCCGATCTCGTACGGAAAAGGGGCACGTTGCTACTTAATCCACGCGCCTTCATCAGTGTTTGCGGGTCCTCGATCCTTCCTTTTGCGCATCCTCTCCCCCTTGTCCTGCTCAATGTCCTCCTCCTCCTCCTCAGCCTCTTTTCCTCATAGACAGCTCCTTCCCGTGGCCACCAGTTGGAACAGAAAGGCGGGCTGGGCGTTTCGCTTGAGCCTGCCTCACCGCAAATGGCCCTGAAGCTGAAGATTACCAACAGCTACAAGGGGCGGATGGTTTCCGAGATTTGGCTCGAACCTCAGCGCCGCGCAGCGCGGATTCATCGTGAAAGAGTTGGGTAGATGCTGTTTTTTAAGCGTTGCTCACGCCTTACCGCACACAATTGTATGCACAGCTTCCGGCGACTTGAAAGGATGGATAGCGATCCTGCTTCGATATGGGGCTACCGTTCAAGACATCCCCAAACATAACGAACATAAGTGCAGACCTGTACTCGTCGTGCGGATGGATGGCGGCTCCAGTCCAACGAAAATTAAAACATATGGCAGGATGCGTAACATTCGGCAACTGCTCCACGGATGGAAATGCTGCTTCTTCTCGAAACGGAGCTGTCGCTAGATGCAGAATAACTCCTTTTCAAAGCAACTCCCTCGCCTGAATCGCAGGCCTACGGGGCGAGAGGTCTCCGACGTCCGGCGTCGTGGACACACTTGGCGTCGAGTGATTTCGCCCGTCTCGGGCCTTGCTCTCACGCATCGATCCCGCTCGGGAAGTCCAGCAGATGGATGGGGTCTATTCACGACGTCGGAACTTTGACGTCTGATGTGTGGGGCGGGGCCGGGGTAGCTGGGATCAGGAAGAACCCTGTCCAAAGGTGTCTGCCACGAGATGCCAAGGATCACGCCATACTGTCCATCGAATGCTGGGGGGCACATGCTGCGAAGGCAGGTTCTGAGCGTCCCCCTGCGAAGGCAGGTTCTGAGCGAAGGCATCCATCGAGCGCCGCGCCCGACTACCGTCCGGCGAGCGACCATCGGTCAGAGCGTTCAGCTGAGCGCCAGACGAGCAACGGGGCGGGCGAGGTCAAGCTCGCCCGCCTCCAGGCGACCCAAGGTTACGTGCGAACCAGCGTGCACTGAACGAGGAAGAGGGGAGGAGAGGGAGGCCCCCTTTCGTCTTGCGCGTAACACAAATCAACGCAACAACCTCCCCTACGCCCCGCGCGGCCACTGAAAGTCCCCTAACAGGGGTGCCACGGCTGGATTCGAGGCTTGGGGCTCCAGCGACTCCCTGGCGACGAAACTCCCCAGGGACTCCCTTTGGTCTGGTGCATCTCCGCGTGCAAGCGCTGAAATTCGGCTTTGTTTGCCCTCGTGCGCCTTGCGAGGGGGACTCCGCCCTGGAATGCCCCGACGCGACCCCCATCGCGGAGCGCGACACCCGCCACTGCGACGCAGCTGCGTCAACACGCGCGGCGCGCCGCGCTGTCTCGATCCCGATGCCCCTGCGCCATGCCAGTGCCCCGACGCGACCCCCATCGCGGAGCGAGACGCCCGTCGATGCGACGCAGCTGCGTCAACACGCGCGGCGCGCCGCGCTGTCTCGATCCCGATGCCCCTGCGCCCTGCTGGTGCCCCGACGCACGACCCATCGCGGAGCGAGACGCCCGTCGACGAGGCGCACGCTGCCGAAGAGGCCGCACTGGGGGTCGAGGGGGTATCGGCTACGTGCAAGAGTGACTTTTGGTGCGCGGCTTTTGCGGGGCCGCGGGGGGACGGAACACCAGCGCGCAGGGCGCCCCTGCCGCATCCTGGTCTGCGATCCAGGGACCCCCGTGGGCCCGCACCAAAGGACGTCTCCGCCGAAGGGTCGCTCTCAGCGTAGTCGAGAAGAGGAGGCATTCCCCGGGGCGCAGGCGAGGCAGGTGTTGGGAACGCTGGGCTGTCAAAAACCAGGACGAGCTAGTCAAAGAGCGTCGGCAAACCCGAGTTCTGGCGCACTCGAGTCTTACGTTTCCAAGATCATTTGATGCCCGTTTTTTTCGGTCGCGATCGGTGTCAACCGATCGGCACTCCAAATCGGTCGCGACCGATCGCGACCGATCCCCAGATCGGTCGCGATGGGTCGCCACCGATCGCGACCGATCGGTCGCGAGCGATCGGCCGCGGCCGATCTTGAAGCAAACTGGTCACAACCGATACCGAACTTGGAAGCAAAATCGGCAGCGACCTTTCTCGTCGGGCGCGACTGGGAAGTTCCAGTGCCCAATGATCAAGGGCAACCGAGACATGCATCGTGATGTTCGCGGAGCTTCTCGAGAGGGTCTGAGCCCTAACCTCCGACGACTTTCTACTCCAAAGTGGCGCTCCAGAAAGGGCCCTGCCTTCGAAGATTGAAGATGTTGCCGGCTCTTCCGCGGCGGCAGAGCGGCGGGACGGCCGGCGGACGCAAAACGAGGCCGCCCCCGCGGGCGGAAGCCCTGACAGAGAGCCCTGGACTCGAAAATGCGGACACATCGCTTCCGCTTCCGCCGCCTTCCGTGGAACTGCACGAGTAAAAGGAGGCCGCCCCCGCGGGCGGAAGGCCTGACAAAGAGCCCTGAACTCGAAAATCGCTTCTGCTTCCGCCGCCTGTCGCTGGCCCTGCGCCGCTTCCCGCCCGCGGACCCCTCCTGCCGTCCCTGCCAGCCCTCCGCCGGCCGCCGCCGCCGCAGGCGAGAGGCGCTGAGAGCGAGGCCCGTGCTTGAACGCCTCGTCTGGCCAACCCCCCGTACCCCTCCCTCCTCTTCATTTCCTTGTCATTATGAATAACTCCTCCTCCTACTCCTCCTCCTCCTCCTCCTCCTCCTCCTCCGCCTCCTCCTCCGCCTCCTCCTCCTCCTCCTCCACCCTCCTCCTCCACCCTCCTCCTCCTCCTCCTCCTCTTCCTCCCCGATTCCTTTTCAGTATAGATAGCTTCTCCCAGTCGCATCCCGAAGCCGGTCGAAAGGGCGGGCCGGGCGTGTCGCCTGAGACTTCCTTACCACGCATGAGCCTGAAGCTCAGAAGCTGGCAACAGTTTTACAGATGGACGGCAGGTCGTTTCCAAAATGTGGCTCTCGCCTTAGCGCCGCGCACATTGGTTTTAAAAGTTTGCAGGAAGTTCACTGGTTCAGGATAGGTCGATTTCAAAATGTGGCTCTCCCCTTAGTGTCGCGCCGACTCGTCTCTAAAGCGTGCAAGCGTGCAAGAGCTTCACGGATTGAAGGCGGTTCATTTTCAACATGCGTCTCTCGCTTTACCGCCGGCACTTTCGTTTCACAAATGTGCAATCGTTTCAACGACTCTCAGGAGAACGTACCAAAAAACGGCGTTGGAAACGATAAAAAATTGTCGAGAGAACGCGTTTCACGGGCGCTTGCCTTAGGAACATTCGGCGGCGCATTTCAAACCGAGGGGTGGGCCCCCCCCAACACTCGGCGCCGTTGATCAAAACCAAGGGGACTCCCCTCCCTCTCGAACCACCCCCTCCCGAATCCGCCCCCCCCCCCCTCCCAGGGGAGATGGGGTTCAAACCCCCCCCCCCTCACAGGGGAAGGGGGGGGGGTTCAAACCCCCTCCGCCCACCCCCTCGGCGCCGGTGCCAGCGCCGGCACTGGCGGCCGCCAGCAGCGCCCACGGCGGGGACGCAGCGACGATGACCAGAGGCAGCTCAAGGGGGGGGTTCAACCCCCCCCCCCCTGGCGCCGGGCGAGGGGGGGTCCAACCCCCGGCCCCCCCCCGGCGCTGGCGCCTGCCAGCAGCGCCGGCGCTGGCGCTGGCGACGGCGGGGACGCAGCGACGATTACCACCACTACCACCACCACCACCACTAGCACCACCACCACCGCCTCAACCCACCGCCACCACCACCAAAACCACCACCACCACCACCACCACCACCACCACCACCACCAACAACAACAACAACAACAACAACACACACAACCACCACCACCACCACCACCACAGCCACCACCAAACCACCACTCACCATCACCACCACCACCACCACAAAAACCCACCACCACTACCACCACCACCACAATCTACCACACCACCACCACCCACCACCGCCACAACCACTACCAGCAGCACAACCCACCGCCACCACCACAAACACCACACCACCACCGCCACCACCACCACCACCACAACAAACTTCAACAAACCACCGCCATCACCACAACCCACCACCACCACAACCACCACAAACCACCACCACACCTCCACAACCACCACCACCACCACCACCACCACTCACCATCACCACCACCACCACCACAAAAAACCACCACCACTACCACCATCACCACAATCTACCACACCACCACCACCACCGCCACAACCACCACCACTACCAGCAGCACAACCCACCACCACCACCACCACCACCACCACCACCATCACCACCACACACCACGACACCACCACCACCACCGCCGCCACCACCACCAGCACCACCTCCACAAACCA